TTCTAGGCCACCCATCTCCCTCCAGAGGCCACAGCATCCCTTCAGCTGCCTCCGGCTCTCCTCTGAAAGGGCCACTAGCCACTCCCTTTGCTGTGGGCTGGTTCATTCAGAAACTTAGCAGTTGGGGCTAATACCATTAAGTTGTTGGGCTTAATACCCTTCGTGAGTTGGTGTTTCTCAGCCAGTCATCTGGTCTTCAGTCTAATGCTCTCCCAACTGAGCTACTCTGGCTGCTACAAGCAGGCCTCTCTGGAAGAGGGGGAGGGGGACAGAGCTAATCAGATTAAGATAATTTGTCAGTGCCAAATTGTGCCTGAGAAACCTGACATGATGATCAAACACAAGAATAACTCGAGGGCTATGTCTACACTTGAGGTTTCTTGTGCACGTGTTCTTGTGCAAGCAAGAAAACATCCACGCTGCCATGTGCCAGCTGTGCTTTCACGCAAGAGTGCCCATGGCAGTGTGGATGCGCAGCGGCAGGGATTCCCCCACATTACTGAGTGGGGGCTGGAGCCAGTTCTGGGTTGTCGCCTTCAACAACCAAACTGAACCAATGGATCTTGTGCAGACCTGACACTGCGCTGGGCTAGTGCTGTGTGTGCCACAGAGCTTCCTGCAGGGCTGCCCACACGAGACAGGGGAGGGGCAGTTTGAGTCACCAGCCCTGCCTCTTCTGAAGGGCTTGTGAAAATGGCAGGTGCTGTCTTGGCAGTGAGGGAGAGGTGGGAAAGGGGCCCTGAGTGAACCTCTTGGGTCACAGCTGCTGTAACAATGAGGTAAGATGAAAGAGTGGGCAACTGTCATATGAAGAGTGAGGCTGGTTTCCCTGACTGGGAATTGAACCCAGGTCTCAATAGTGAAAGTGTTGAATCCCAGCCACTAGACCACCAGGGAGACATGCAGATGTGTCTTTCCTTACCTAAACTAGCCCTTCACAGGCCACTTTCTGGCAGTGAAGGACTCAGCACATGGGTCAGTGGGTGGGGCAGGGAACTGGGAGTAGATCTTGGCTCTAACTCACTAAGTCATCCTGGCTGTTCAGTGAATCTCTCCCTGGCTCTATGGCCGTGTCTGGACAGCAGGGACAGCAACACTCACAGCCCCACAGGAGGGCCCCTGGCCTAGCAATGTGGCCCCCTGAGCAGCCCCTGCCGGTCCCCGC